GCCAATGGGCCCGCAAATGTTTCAAGCAGCCAAATTCGAAATTGGAAAGCCAATCGATCTGGAGATAGAAGCATCGCTAGTGAAAGATCTGTGGGAGGAATTGGGAATCGAGTGAAAGGAAATGAAACTGCAACATCTCTGCTTTGATTTTCTAGAGGAATCGAGACTGGTGGTAATTTTTTGGCGGAATTATTCGCTTCGGGCGATGGACACTTCTAAAATAGGTTTCCGGCCTTGTCTTTCTTTTAGCAGTTGAACACCAACATAGTGCTAACTTGCCAAAAACGCTTCAAAATGGCCTGAGACGCTAGGAATCAACAAAGAAAACAATAAAGCAATAAGGTAAGCTCATTTTATTTCAAAACAAGACATTTTTTCTCTCTTTAAGGCAAACTGATAACATCCATACAAACCTTTATAAATATAAAACGTTGCGCAACATGTTAAGAGTTACATCCGCTTTTCTAGCAGTGAGCTTGGGCTGCCTGTGGCATAGTATGTTATTTTTTTGGCCTATTGGCACTCTCGAGATTTGATTCAGTACTACGTAAACTAAATCAGCTCTTTTGTTTCATGTTGCACCAGAAAACTAGATGGGATTTGAGGAGTGTTCATTATTCATTAGAGATTTTTTTTTAAAAGCCCTGATATAAGTTAATTAAATTTCACCTGTGCTTTGTATAACCTTTGCCATCAACGCCCAGGGCTCCTTTTGCAGTGCAAACAGAAAGGGAAATGTTTCCTTTTATGCTTACGATGCCTTTATATTTCATTTTGATGAGTATTTTACAAGCATGTTTCAGCATTTTCTACATATTAGGCTATTTTTAATATGATTAAACTAGTTTACCTGGTGACCTGTAGCACTTTTATGGCTTAGGGAGGTTACACGGCTCTTCCAAAGCTGTGCTGGAAAATCAATTCAAATTAAGCTGCTGTGCATCTAACAGAGCCTAAGACAGAAGCATACAAACAATAGTAATCTTTAAGGGCTCCTTCATGATAACTTAATTCTACTTTATCTTCAAAGCCAGCCTTGAAATTATGTTAGCAAGCTGAATCAGCATGATATGTAAATTTTCATCCCATCTTACCTTTTGTTTGTATAGTGTGTTCCATGTGGGTTAAGAATTGCTATCTAAGACAATATATCCTTTTTGACTCATGAATTGCATGCATGCGCAAGAGGGAGTTGTAGGTATGATGTGATGAATGGCACTTGCTCTCTCTCTTGATTGGTTGATTCTTGTAAACTTTCTTCTATTTTGGGCTTTTGAATGCATTTGATAGTTTTTGGTGAGTGATAAATGAAATGGTGACCTTTGTTGCTAAGAATAGTGTTGGGGCGAAAAAGAAGCCAATGATAATCTTGAAAGAGTAAAAAAGTATGTGTTTTTCCTTTGTGAATTAATTAAAGTTTGCCCAATCTCCAAATACACTTTTATCTCTTGCAGCATAGTTTTCATTTATTGCGTCAATACTTCTATTTTTAAATGTATATATCCAGGAAAATGATTATTGTGTCCGAAAAAGAAAAAAAGAAAACAAAGAAAGGAAGTTAAACAAAATGCAAAATTTAATTGAGGATGGCAGATTTGAACCGCCTACATTGCCACCCTAGATTAACATTAACTGCACTGCTTTTTACCGTAAGGCCACCAAAGCACATTGAAAATTAATGTTGAAACTTTATCTAGTTATAAATTTTACATTAAAAATGCTGATCTTTTGGTAATTTCAACTGCGGGCTCAAACCACTCGAGTTGCTGCTCGCCGATAGTCCGATATTGAAGTGTTGCTTACAGCTAACTGCTCGTAAAGTGACTTGTTTGAGGCTTGTTTCGTATTCCTGCAGCTGTATCGATGTTGGAAAGTGGTTCACAAGTGGGAACTGCATCAAAAGAAGCTCAAGCATAAGTTCAATCAATCGTTATGCTGTTTCTTCAATGGTGTAAATCGCACTGTGTATGCTTATGTTATTAGTGCACTGTTAAGTTTGTATGTTTCCAGATACCTTTAATTAAGAATTTTTTCTTAAAAATGCATCCTGGAGTGAGGAACAGAAAGTTCGAAAGATGAGGATTGATATCACTCAAAGTGAGTGTAATTATCAGTTCTCAAAACAAGGAATATGCACTGACGGTGAGTGACAAATACTGCCTAAAACTGATAGCAGAGTCCTTACTTTGAGGTGACTGAAGTTTCTCATAGTTAGACCTATTTTTTTCAAAATGAGTAAGTAAAGATCTCAAAAGAGAGCACTTACTCCTCAAAGATTGTTAAATAATACATCATCCCTATGTCCTTGAGACAAGGATCTTAACTCCAGGAAGTGGTTCTTTCTATCAATATTTTGTGCATGTAACACAGGTTAGCCAGGCCATACTACAAACTCAACAACAACTTTTAATCTGACATAATAAACCCAAATTGTGCTTTCT